TTTTCCCAAATTCATACTTCGTACATTCCATGTTCCAATTTTCAATGGATGTTTACAGCTGTTTCTCCTCACCTTAAGCTGTTGCCCATCAGCAAATGCAGGTTCTGTGTGCTTTTCTCCCCCGAGCTTAACTGTATTCGTGTTGTTGTTGTTAAGTTCTATCAAATCAGTTCTAACTCATAGCGACACTGTATAGAGTTTTCAAAAAGTGACTGGTGGGTTTGAATTGCTGACCTTGTGGTTAGCAGTCAAGTGCTTACCCTACAGCACCACACCTACACTCTTTCTCATCCTGAACCCATTAATATTAATTCTTCTACATTCTGGAGTTCACATTCTCCTGGTTCTCATGTGTTATTCTCTTTATATCCCTCCTCCACCCAAATTTATCTTTATTTACCTTCTTCTAAAATGACATACTGCTTTAGGCAAATCTGTGGCACAAGACCTTTTTTAAAGCATTCAAGAGCAAAGATGTCAGTTTGAGGACTAAGGTGCACGTGACTCTAGCCATGGTATTTTCACTAACCTCATATGCATGCGAAAGTTGGACAGTGAATTAGAAGATCGTAGAAGAATTGGTGCACTTGAGTTATGGTGTTGGAGGAGAATATTGCAAGTGCCATGGGCTGCCAAAAGAACCAACACAGACAGCTATGTACTCAGGCGTAGCAACATTTGTGAGGTTGGCACAGAACCAGGCAGTGTTTTGTTCTGCTGTGCATAGGGTCACTGTGAGTCAGTACCAAGTCAATGGCACCTAACAACAACAACAACAATTGCTTAAAGGAGCTCTGGTAGCACAGTGGTTACAAGTTTGTCTGCTAATCTCAAGGTCAGCAGTTTAAACTACCAGCTGTTCTGTGGGAGAAAGATGAAGCTTTCTGCTTTCCAGTCTCGGAAACCCTATGGACTCCACAGCACATAACCAACCAATTACTCATAGTCCTTATTGCTACTTCCCACCACTCTCATCCATCATGCCTTCTTCAAACCCTTTTAACTTCTTGTTAGTTACCGTGGAGTCGGTTCTGACTCATAGAGGCTGTATGCACAACAGAAAAAAAACACTGCATGGTCCTGCACCATCCTCACAACTGTTGTTACATATGAGTCTATTGCTGCTGCCACTGTGTGAATTCATCTCGTTGGAGTTCCCCCTCTTTTTCACTGACCTTCCACTTTAGCAATCATGATGTCCTTCTCCAGGGACTGGTCTCTCCTGATAATATGTCCATAGTATGAGAGACAAAGTCTTACTATTTCTAAGGAGCATTCTGGCTGTATTTTTTCCAAGACAGATTTGTTTATCCTTCTGGCAGTCCATGGTACTTTCATTATTCCTCTCCAACACCATTAATTCAAATGCATAGATTCTTCTATTGTCTTCCTTATTTATTGTCTAACTTTCACTTGCATATAAAGTCATTGAAAATACCAAGAATTGGATAAGGTGCATATTAATCCTCAAACTGACATCTTTGCTGTATAACACTTTAAAGACATCTTTTGCAGCAGATTTGAATAATGCAATACATTGTTTGATTTCTTGACTGCTGTTCCATGAGAACTGATTGTGGATCCAAGTAAATGAAGTTTTTGACAGCTTCAATCTTTCTCCACGTATTTACTGGTCCAGTTGTAAATTTTTGTTTTCTTTACATTGAAGTGCAATCCATACTGAAAGCTGTAGTTTTTATCTTCATCAATGAATATTTCAAGTCATCTTCACTACCAGCAAGCAAGCTTGTGTCATCTGCAAATCTCAGGTTGTTAATGAGTCTTCCTCCAATCCTGATGCCATGATCTTTTCTTTGGATTATTTGCATTCTTGGATTATCTGTTTAGCAGACAGAGTGAAAGGATACAACACTGATGCACACCTTTCCTGATTTTAACCATTCAGTGTTCCCTTGTTCTATTCGAACAAATGTCTTGTGATCTAGGTACATGTTACTTATGAATACAATGAAGTATTCTGGGATACCCATTTTTTTCATCATTATTCATAGTTTGTTATGACCCACATAGTTGTATGCCTTTGCATTGTCAATAAAGCACACGTAAACATTTCTGGTATTCTCTGCTTTTAGTCGAGATCCATCTGATGTCAGCAATGATATCCCTGGCTCTACGTCCTCTTCTGGATCTGACTTGAATGTCTGGCAGCACGCTGTCAATGTAATGCAGCAACTGTTTTTGAACTATCTTCAGCAAAATTTTGCTGACATATGATCCTAATGATACTGCTTGATGATTTCCATATTCTGTTGAGTTACCTGTCTTTGGAATGAGTCTTTTCCAATTGGTTAGCAAGGTTGTTGTTATTATGTGCCATGGAGTTGGTTCCGACTCATAGTGACCCTGTACAGGGTTTCCAAGGAGTTGGTTCCGACTCATAGTGACCCTGTACAGGGTTTACAAGGCTATAGTTCTTTACGGGAGCAGAAAGCCTCATCTTTCTCCCGTGAAACAGTGGTAGTTTCGAACTGCTGACCTTGTGGTTCGCAGCCCGATTCGTAACCACTACACTACCAGAGAAAGGTAGTCTTCCAAATTTCTTGGTATAGACAAGTGGCCGCCTTCAACACTGCATCAGTTTGTTGAAACATCCCATTTGTATTCCATCAGTTCATGAGCCTTGCTTCCAATGCCTCCAGTGCAGCTTGGACTTCTTCCTCTGATACCACCAGTTCTTGATCATATACTACCTCTTGAAATTTTCGAATATTGAGCAATTCTTTTTGGTACAGTGACTCTATGTATTTCTTCCGACTTCATTTGATGGTTCCTACATCATTCAATATTTTGCCCACGTTTTTGTTGTTAAGTGCCATAGAGTCAGTTCTGACCCATAGTGACTCTATTAATTGTTTCTGAGGAGTAGCTGGTGAGCTTGAACCTCTGACCTTGCAGTTCAAACCAACTTTGCAGTCTAGCACATTAACCCACAGTGCCACACCACAACTCCTGTTTTGCCCGTGTTGTTGTTGTTAAGTGCTGTCAAGTCAATTCCAACCCATAGCGACCCTGTATAGGGTTTCCAAGGAACAGCTGATGAGCTTGAACCACCGACCTTGCAGTTCAAACAGCTTTGCATTCTGGAGCATTAACCCACAGTGCCACACCTGGATAGAACCCTTCAATTTTGCAACCCGAGACTTGACTTTTTTCTTCAGTTCTTTCAACTTGAGAAATGCTGAGCATGTTCTTTCCTTATGGTTTTCTAATTCCAGGTCTTTGTATATTTCATTTTCATACTTGACTTTATCTTCTAGAGTTGTCCTTTGAAATTTTCTGTTCTGCATTTACTTCATAATTCTTCCAGTTGCTTTAGCTTGTCTACATTTCAGAGCAAGTTTCAGAGATTTTTCTGACATCCATTTTGGTCTTTTATTTTTTTCCTGTATTTTTTGTTTTGCTTTTTTTTTTGCTGTATTTTTCATGACCTTTTTATTTCGTCCTATATGATGTTCTTGATGTCAACACACAGCTCTTCTGGTCTTCGGTTATTAGTGTTTAATGCATTAAGTACATTCTTAAGATAATCCCTCAATTCAGATGGGATATATCCATGGCATATTTTTACTCTTGTGGAGTTGTTTTCATTTTCCTCAGCGTTAGCCTGAAGTTGCATATGAGCAACTGATGGTCTGTTCCACAGTCAGCCCCCTTACCTTATTTTAGTTGATGATATTGAGCTTCTCCATCTCTCATCCCACAGATGTAGTAGTCAGTTTGATTCCTGTGTATTTCATCGGTGAGATCACCTTTTATGTTGTTTAAAAAGGTATTTGCAATGAAAAAGTCATTGACCTGTGCTCATTTGTTGTTGTTATTAAGTGCCGTCAAGTCAGTTCCGACCCATAGTAACACTGTATAGGGTTTCCAAGGAGCAGCTGGTGAACTTGAACCATCAACCTTGCAGTTCAAATGGCTTTGCAGTCTGATGCACTAACCCACGGCACCACACCAGGACTCCTTTAAGAGTTTACAATTATGGCAAACATCACTGAAGGAAAAATAATCCATGGAAGATAGTTAAAACAGGAATTGCACAAAATGGATAAGAGTGGAAAGAAATACTTATTATTCATATACTGGTCTTTTTTGTTGCATTTTGAGATAGTATTTTCTATGAGTATTATAATCTTCAATTATGAAGTTAGTCAACAATTTTTTATTATGGCTTTTGTGTGTGTTGTTGCTGTTGTTGTTAAGTACTGTTGAGTCAATTCCAATTTTACGCTATCCTGTACAGGGTTTCCGAGGAGCAGTTGGTGGGTTTGAACCACGACTTTGTGGTTCACAGTTCAGTCCTTATCCTGCAGAGCCTTGCTTCTTTAGAAAATTATAGTCTTGTTAGGTCTACATATGAAACTAATTAAAGTGCGAATTTGTTTAATGAGTAGGTTATGTTTATTGAGAAAAAAGAACTTACTGTGAGTTTAAATTAAATGATTAAGGAAATCCTATTGGAACACTTGGGAGTTAAAGTGAAGCCAAAACACATCTCTATTTGAACCTAGTTTTAGAAATTATGAAAATGTGAAAATGAATTGAATTTGCTAGTTCAAAATCTGGGATACAAATTGGTAAGGTGAACAAAGTTAACATGAGAGGAAGCATTTTTTTCCTAAGCAGCTGTAAGATTGAAGCAGGTGATATGCTAATTTCAAATGATTATTATTTTATGTTTTCAAAGCAGTTTTCTTAAGATATATTACATCATGCTTGAGTTATTCTAAGTATTTCTCTTATTGTGAATATTGTAGACATATGCTTTATTGAGTCAGAGATTTTTCACCAGTTCAAGCTCATATGCTCCTCTTCCCTTACTAACATTAGTAATGTGAATGTTTGTATTGGCTTAGTGGTTTCACAAGCTCCTAAGGGAACTGACAAAAGTTTATCCTATTGGAACTTAAACTTTAAAAACAGAAAATGTGTTATAATCTGGGGCTTTAAAAAAATCTATTAATGTCTTGCTAAGGGTTCACTAGTTCAGAAAAAAAGTTCTTTTCTAGTTAATAAATAAAAGAAAAATTAAATAAAAAATAATAACAATTTGTTTTACATAAAACAATGTTGACATAAAACTTTAAAACTACTCTGAAAAGTCGCCTCCAGGCTTTACTATATTCAAAATTTTTGCTTCTAGATAGAATTCTTCACTTGCTCTCCCTTTATCTCTAACCAAAATTGCATGCCCTCTTCTCTATTCATATCCCTTACTTCCATCCCAAGCTGTAGTGCTTTTTTGTTTGTTTTTAACAATGTCTGTATTTTAAATTATTAAGTGCTGTCAAGTCGGTTCCAACTCATAGGGTTTCCAAGGAGTGGCTGGCAAATATACTAACTTTTTTCCTTTACATTTTAGGGTCCTTTTTGTGGCTTTCTATGATGTCCCAAGGCATGGGTGATGATAACCTCAGTAGCTTAGATGGTCATGAAACAGAAATTGAACCAGAAAATATGAGAGAAAAGTTCTTCCAAAGCTTAGCTGTACTACTGGAAATCAAAAGTAATAACACTAAGATATTTTCTAAAGCAAAGTACTGCCAATTGACAAGGGAAGTGAAAGAGGCTAAAGCTAAGGCCAAAAAGGACCCCATTGACTACCGTTGCTTGACTTGATTTGATGTGATCCTTGTCCAAGGAAATGAGAAACTGATTGTAGCTATAAATGGAGAAACAGGTAAAATACAGTATTACTTACACAGTGAGGACTTATTTGACATTCTACATGATACACATCTCAGTATTGCACATGGAGATGTGTATGGAAAAAGAATTACAAGCACAATACAAGAACATCACAAAAGAAGTTATCATGTTATACTTGACACTATGCAAACCATGCCAACAGAAAAATTCAAAAGCTAAGAAAGTTCTAATACCACAGCCACCTAAGGGATTTAACTCAAGATGCCAAGTGAATCTTATAGACATGCAATTGAATCCTGATGGGGAGTATAAATTTATTATGCATTATCAAGACTTGCGTACAAAGTTAAGTTTTTTGAGGTCATTAAAATCTAAAAGGCCCAAGGAAGTCGCACATGCTCTTTTAGATATCTTTACAATTATTGGTGCACCCAGTTTCCTACAATCTGACAATGGGAGGGAATTTTCAAGTCAGATTATTCGTGAGCTCAGTAATATCTGGCCAGAGTTGAAAATTGTTCATGGGAAGTCTCGGTCTTGTCAAAGCCAAAATTCTATAGAAAAAATGACTGTGGATATCCAAAACAGGATGATCTCCTGGATGCAAGCTAACAACTCTTCACACTGGGCTGAATTTTTGTGGTTCATTCAGATGACCCAAAATCAGCCTTATCACAGAGACATGCAGCAGACTCCATGTGGAGATACATCTAACTCTGAAGCAAAACTAGGCCTGTCTCATTCTCAGTTAACTGAAGTATTTGTTGCCAGTCTGAATACAGAAAATGAGTTCGAACAAGCTGACAAAGAGTTAGAAAATACTCTAAGATCCCAATATGAAAAACTGGAGCCAATAGCAGTGATATTGAAGAGACTCTTTTTATTACTCCTAAAGTAGTGGATAGAAGCCCTCCTGAAAACAGGCAAAGATTTTTATCTTGTGTCGTTTGTGAAAAAGAATGCACAGGTGCTAATAGTTGTATATCATGTGATGGAAATGTCCATGCAATCTGTGAAGTGCCCGCTCAAAGCAAGACTGATGACTATGGCCACAGAATAACTTGTAGTCTTTGCCATGAGGCCACTACAATAAAAAGGAAACATGATGAGACTCAGAGAAGTTTCACTGTTCAACCATCCAAAATGCTAAAGGCTTCAGAGACACCATTTTCACCGAACAAAACAGGAGATTGGGTAAGAGTATCTGTTAGAGATCAAAACAGGGGAAGAGCTTCAGTATAGTTTTCTGTGATCAAGATGAATGAGAAGTTTTTTGGTACAAGTTTGACATGATATGGTGGTGGTTATGTGCTGTGGAACTGGTTCCAAATCATAGCGCCCCTGCATAGGGTTTACAAGGTTGTGAATCTTTACAGGAGCAGAAAGCCTCATCTTTCTCCCACAGAACTGCTGGTAGTTTCTAACTGCTGACCTTAAGGTTAGTAGTAGCCCGACTCGTAACCACTATGCTACGAGAGCTCATTTTGACATAATATACTAAAACACAATTACGGCCACCTTGAATATATTTTCTCCCAAGAAAAGGCTAATTATTTTGGATGTCGTTTTCTCCTCTAAATTGGAAATTATGACCTTGAATCTATCTTATTTATGTTTTGGGGGTGATGAAGTAGTTCTTAGACTACTCTGTGATATAAGGCATCTCTTACAATAATGAGAAAGTTAGAAACCAGGAATACATCTATTTGATTGTATGTTTTCACAGAAGGGTTAATTCGGGAATAGATTAATTTAATATTTCTATGTTTCAATTGTACATTAATTTGGGTGTGGGCATAAGCCAAGAAAGGGTATTATGGGTCAAGTAAGGAAATATTTAGGAGGTGTTGGGTGATGAAAATTTGCCTGAGTAATAGAGTCTTGTGGTGGGAAAGAGTTCAGTTTTGGGATTTAAATAGAGAGCATGAGATAAGGTCAATGTGATTTTAAAGCAGTAGGTTTTATAAGTCCAGGATAATGCCTTATAAAATACAGTTCAAGTCAGAGTTCTAAAATATGAGGTCACACATGATCTAGGCCAATGTTACTCAACTATGTGTGATCTATAGACTAGTACTGGTCTGCAAACTATTTTTACCTGACCATACACATAATCAATGAACTCATCTTGAATTCACCAATTTGGGTGTTGAATTCTTAAGGTGAGTCATATGTAGTGAGAATGGAACACTAGAAAAGCACAGTAGGATCATACTATAATGTGTGATATTTTATCATTAGTTTGTCAGCTGTAACCAAAAGTATATATTGATTTACTTTCATAATTTAATTTTACAATCATTGTAAAGGTTTCAATTAAACCTAGTTTTTAATTTGTAACTAATCTTATTAGCCAAAGGAGGGAAGTAAACTTTATTTTTAATCCTAATTTACAGATGGTGAAACAATGTTCACTGGCCTTTTCTGTCAAGAAGAAACATACCTTTTCTGAACATAGTGGCAGCAGTAGTAAAAGAAGGGGTAACAATGGAAGTCATTCTCAAGAAATGAAAACCAAGAGAGTGCATTCTAGTTTTACTCGGAAGTATGACCCCTCATATATTGAGTTTGGTTTTGTAGCTGTAATTGATGATAAAGTGCTAAAACCACAGTGTATTATTTGTGGAGATATATTGGCTAATGAAACCATCAAAACTTAAGCGGCATTTATATTCAAAACATAAAGAAATAAGTTCACAACCAAAAGAATTCTTTGAAAGAAAGAGCAGTGAATTAAAAAGCCAACCAAAGCAGGTATTCAGTGTTTCACATATAAACATTAGTGCTTTGCGGGCTTCTTATAAAGTAGCACTTCCAGTTGCTAAGTCTAAAATACCATACACAATTGCTGAGACACTAGTGGAAGACTGCATCAAAGAAATTTGCTTGGAAATGTTGGGTGAATCTGCAGCAAAAAAAGTAGCTCAAGTGCCGCTTTCCAATGACACTATAGCTCGACGTTTTCAGGAACTGGCTAATGATATGGAAGACCGACTCATAGAACAAATAAAGCTAGCAAAGTGTTTTTCTTTGCAACTTGATGAGTGCAGAGATATTGTGAACATGATCATTCTTTTAGTATATGTGAGGTTTGAACATGATGATGATATAAAGGAAGAATTCTTTTTTTCAGTTACTTTGCCTACAAATACAACTAGCTCAGGATTATATGAAGCTGTGAAGAATTACATTGTCAACAAATGTGGTTTGGAATTTAAGTTTTGTGTAAGAGTATGTTCTGATGGTGCAGCTTCAATGACAGGAAAACACTCTGAAATGGTTGCCCAGATTGAGGAGCTTGCTCCAGAATGTAAAACAACACATTGTTTCACTCATCCAGAAAATCTTGCTATGAAAAAAATATCAGTTGAACTAAATAGCATGCTTACTGACATAGTAAAAATTGTGAATTATATAAAGGAGAATGCATTAAATTCAAGGTTATTCTCTTTATTATGTGATAATATGGAAACTGATCATAAACAACTGTTCTTGCGTGCTGAGATGCAGTGGTTGTCACAGGGAAAAATTCTGTCAAGAATATTTGAATTATGAAATGAACTCTTAGTGTTTCTGCAAGGCAAGAAGCCAGCTTGGTCCCAACTTTTTAAAGATGTGAATTGGACAGCTAGGCTTGCTTATTTGTCTGATATCTTCAGTATTTTTAATGATCTCAGTGCTTCCATGCAAGGAAAGAATAAAATATGTTTTTCAATGGCAGATAAAATGGAAGGACAAAAACAAAAGTTAGAAATGTGGAAAAGCAGAGCTTCTAGAGATTGTTATGATATGTTCCATAATTTAACAATGATTATTAGCGAAGCAGGTCATGATCTTGATACTGTACATCTGAGGAAAGTTACCAATAAACATCTAAAAAATTTGTTAGAATATTTTAAATTCTATTTTCCATCAAAAGAAGATCCACGCATAGGAGACTCATGGATCCAAAATCCATTTCTTACATCAAAAAATAATTTAAATTTGACTGGAAGTCTACAGGATATGTTCTTGCAGCTGGCAACTGATGAAGGATTGAAGATTTTTGAAAACACAGCATAACTTGCTTCATTTTGGATAAAAGTTAAAAGTGAATATTCTGAGCTTGCCAAGATTGCTTTAAAATCTCTTCTTCTATTCTCCTCAACGTACCTCTGTGAAACTGGTTTCTCTACATTAAGTGTTATTAAAACAAAACACAGAAACAGTTTAAATATCCATTATCCCTTGCGAGTAGCACTGTCATCGATTCAACCTAGATTAGACAAATTCACAAGCAAGAAGCAAGCCCATCTGTCACACTAAACGCTTTATTGATATATAAAGTATTCATTAAAAGTGAGGAATTTGCTATTTGACTTTTAACTTCCTTAGTTAAACTTATGGAACTCTGAAAAGTTATTCTTCTAACAGTAGTTCTGTGTATATCTTGACTGTGTACATTTTCAATGAAGAGTATGTATAAAAGTTTTATAATTCTTTTAATTTTTCCACGTAACATTTATTAATATATAATTTTAAATCTGTTAATCCTAATATTAAAAATTTGGTCTTGTATTTTTGTATGTCTTGGTTTTCATTATTATATTGTGTTAGAGTTAACACTAGAAGATGACTTCAGGACAAGAATGATTTCTTTGAAGTGGCAGACTGTATAATAAAGAGAAGTGAATTCAGGGAGTGGATTAAGAATTCACATGCAAGAGAAAGGAGCAATAAGATGTTAAGTTCGTTAAGCTGAATCATGTTATAACAATAGTTTAGACGTTGATGCTATGTTGGTTTGGCAGGTGTATGACTAAACAATGTATAATAAGGTGATGTGGTGTTTCTAGTCATGATATTATGGCTTTGGATTTATATTGATAAATTCTGATTTCATATGGGTGGGGGACTGGACCACAGTAACAAAATTTGTCAAGTAAAGGTTTTAAAACCTTCTTAGAGTTTCTTAGAGCCTTGAAGATTCTGTAGCACAGTCAAGTACTGGTACCTCATTCTTGATTACTTGGATATGATTCAGGGGGAAAAAAAGTCACATATATGTGTAACCACTTAGAATGACTCAAAGCAGATAATTAGCAGAAGGTATTTTATTTAGGGTAAAGCATGCCAGGATCCTTGAAGAAAATGACAGTCACGTGCTAGACAAGTAACAGTGAGTGGTTCATTCCAAAGAAACGTGGCATTGAAAGCAGGGAAAGGAAAATATAGTTAATGATATAAATTTTTATATCATTAAATAGGCTAATATTTAGCCTTTTGATTAAAAAACTATTAAGGGACTAGATCCCCAAACCTTTGAGAGTGAATGAAATATTTTTCATATTCAGCCCTGAAACCTTAGATGGATTATATTTTATTATTTTAATAAAATTTTACAGCTTTTCAAAAATCTTGTGATGGATAGATTAAGAAGACAGTGATGTAGTTCTTCCTACTACAACAATAACTCACAAGGTACATGCCCTCTTTCCTGTCTGTCCTTTTGGAATTCAGCGATTTGCAATTTTTAAATATTTTACCATTTGTTTTATTGCTTGCATAAGGTATTTGTGATTCCCATTTTTAATTTTTTAAAAGCAAGTTGTGTAATGATTCAGTATTGATTTCTACAAAACTTCAAGTGGTCTTGGAGAAAATAAACTGAGAGGGATATTAAGAGGGTATTTCTAAAGAGAACTAAATTTCATAACTTTCCCTCTGTTGTTGTTGTTGTCAGGTGCCATTGAGTCGGAACCGACTCATAGCGACCCCATGCACAGCAGAACGAAACAATGCTCGATCCTGGGCCAACCTTACTACCGCTGCCACACTTGAGTGCATCAATGATGCCACCTGGCTGATCCATCTCGTTGGGGGTCTTCCTCTTTTTCTCTGACCCTCCACCCTACCCAGCATGACATCCTTCTCCAGCGATTGTTTCCTCCGGACAATATGTCCAAAGTAGGAGAGACGAAGTTTAGCCATCCTGGCCTCCAAGGAACACTCTGGCTGCACTTCCTCCAAAACAGATTTATTGGTTCTTTTGGCAGTCCATGGCACTTTCAGTACTCTCCTCCAACACCACAACTCAAAGGCATCAATTCTTCTACGATCCTCCTTATTCACTGTCCAGCTTTCACATCCATATGAGGCTATTGAAAACACAATGGCCTGGGTCAGGCGCACCCTAGTCCTCAAGCTGACATCTCTGCTCTTCAACACTTTAAAAAGTTCCTGTGCGGCAGATTTGCCCAGTGCAATACGTCATCTGATCTCTTGACTGCTACTTCCGCGAGTGTTGATAGTTGATCCAAGAAGAATGAACTCCTTGACAACTTCAATCTTTTCTCCATTGATAAGAATGTTGCTTATTGGTCCAGTGGTGAGGATTTTTGTTTTCTTGACATTGAGATGTAATCCATATCGAAGGCTGTGCTCTTTAATCTTCATAAGTAAATGTTTCAAGTCCTCTCACTTTCAGCGATCAAGGTTGTATCATCTGCATATCACAGGTTGTTAATGAGTCTTCCTCCAATCCTGATGCCACGTTTTTCTTTATAGAACCCAGTTTCTCGTATTATTTGCTCAGCATACAGGTTGAACAAGTATGGTGAAGAATACAACCCTGTCACACACCTTTCTTAATTTTAAACCATTCAGTGTTCCCATATTCTGTTTGAACAACTGCTTCTTGGTCAAATACAGATTTCTTAGAAGTACAATTAAGTGTTCTGGAATACTCATACTGTTGTTGTTAAGTGCCATGAAATTGACTCCAACCTATAGCGACCCTGTAGAGGGTTTCCAAGGAGCAGCTAGTGAGCTTGAACTGGAGAGAGAAGGGGAGGGTGCTTCCCCTGACCCCCCTGATCCCAACTAGTGGGGGTCAAGGGAAAGCATGGCTGCCTAGGCCTCTTCTCTCCAGAGGAGGATCCCAGATGACAAAATCTAGGTGAGACCTAATCAGTCCCCACCCACCCTGTGCCCTCTACCCTTGCCCAAGGAGGCAAGGGTCATCCCAACAAAACTGGAACTATGACTTATTAAGCCAGCTTGGTCCTCTAAGTGGCACTGGCCATTAGATGCACATTCAGAAGCCACTGGCCCCATGTGTGACAGCCAAACACAATGCAGCTAGTATGGCCAAAGAATAGCATCTTGGACTTCATGCAATTTTAATAGTCACATGTGGCTTGTGGTGACCATATTGGACCTTCCAGTCTAGAGTTGGAAGAAAGCAAACCAGGGAACAGCAGCTGGGCACAAACAGAAAACAGAAAGAGGGATGAACCGTCGGCCATCAACTGTTCCAGCCCCATCCCAAAACAAAAAGTCACCAGGAATGGGATAAGAATGGGCTAAGAGTAACAGGCAAAACTCCACTCAATCACACAGAAGAAGCTACTTGTCCAACCACCCAGCCAGCTTCCAACTGGAACGATCACACTATTTCCTGAAAAAATATGTTAATCTATTTTTCTAGAACCCAGGAATAATAATAATATATTACAAGAAGAGAGCCATAAATATCTCACTATGTTATGATCTACTAGAAAACTTATGTTTTAGCAAAAAGCTACCTTTTTTCAGACGTTGTTGTTACGTGCCGTGGAGTCAGTTCCGACTCATAGTGACCATGTACAGGGTTTCTGAGCCTGTAAATCTTTATGGGAGCAGAAAGCTTCATCTTTCTCCCATGGAACAGCTGGTAGTTACAAACTGCTGACCCAGAGGGTAGCAGCCAGATTCATAACCACTACACTACCAGAGCTCCATTTTTTTTTTAAGGCATAACAGCCTCAAAAGGGCCAAAGTTATGGGCAATGTGAAGTTTTTAAGAAAAGCAAAACTGGGGAGAGTTTATAGAGAAGGACCCTATCTGAAGATATAAATACTAATAAAAAAAAAATAAAAATCCTATCTCCCACTCTTTTCTAATTTTTGAGAAACAAACAAAACAAAAACACATTAAATACAGACTTAGTACATTCTTGCCCAGGTAGAGACACTGCATGAAGGAATGAACTCAAAAGAAAAAAAACAATAAACAAACCCTACTAAAAACAGTTTTATAAACATTCTATAAATCCATTTCAGTATGAATTTTCAGCTCTTCCCCTTCATCTTCCCTTCCTCTCCCCCTATTAAAAAAAAAAAAAAAAGATTGGTTTCCAAAAGTCACTTGAAAGAGCCCAGAACAGCCCAAGGTATACCACAGTGAATTGTATAGTGTGATCACAAGACCCTGTCACGGTGACAGATGACACAGCTCAGAGTGCAGCTGGTTCTAGTTCCTTCTCCTAAGTCTGGCAGAGAGACAGGCTGTGAAAGGGAGCAAGGAAGGTGGCTAGGGAGCAGCTCTCCAGTCAGGACCTACACTATACCTGTGGGCCCCCTCGCTTCTAAGGGCCTGGATGGGGAACGATTCAGACAAGGTTCTAAGCTGGTTTCTAAACCAAAAGGTTAAGAAATAATCCAATCCTCAGGCTGCTTTCAGAAAGGCCAACTTTAACCCCATTTTTCTACAGGGACAACTGAGGCCCAGAGAATCAAGAAGAGCCAGCCAGGAACAGTAGAAGATATTGCCTTGTCTTCTGACATTAAAACATAATCAGAGCTGGAGATACTGATAAATCCGTATTAGATTGACCTCCCTCTAGCCACCTTTCCCAGTCCTCAGGCTTTCCTCCCCACAAAGCAGGGTGGGCTTCTGTGATGCTGAAGAGGGTAGGAAGGGAATACTTGAGAGATGTTAACGGTATAGTCAATGTCTTTGGAGACTCCTATTTTGAATAGGCTGGATAAGCACTGAATTGCTAATCACAAAGTTGGTGTTTCAAATCCATCAACTGCTCCTTGGAAACTCTATACAGGGTTGCTAGGAGCCCAAAAGACTCATGGCACTTAACAGAAAGACACATGGCACTTCTCTGATGGGACTGCACTTTCTGTAGTAAATCTGTTAGGAACTTTGATAATTGGATGGGGATTTTTAATCCCAGTTTGTATCCCTCCTGAGATTTCCTAAGTGATTACTTCCAGAATGTCTTTTCCAATGTTCACCACTTTGGAAGAAATAACGGGAAAATTCTTAAACACTGTACAATTAGAAATGATTTGATTAGAAAATGAAATGTTTATTTACTGGTTCAAAGAACATAGTATATTTTTTGTATTCTGATATACTTGTGTTAAATTGGTTTTACAGTCATCTTGCTATTAAGACCATTGTAGTTACTTTAATCAATTAAACCTTGGGTTCATTAAGCAATACAAGGGAAAGAGAATGAGACCATTTATGGACTGTCTGAGATTCTATC